TGTGGAGGTCCAATCTCGTTTTGAATATATTAACAGAAGGTGCTGATATTACGTGTTCCGGTAGAGAATTCTAGTAATTTACTACTCCGTGCGAGAAACGAAACTCCAGACGTAAACGATTCAATCTCAGTTTCTGAACTTTCTTTGAATGACCTCTCAAATGGTCAGTCCTAGACGGAAGTAAAGGATAAGACATGTTAATATCAAGGTCATCTTTCAGGATACGATAAGCCAATATTAGATCACCCCGTATCCTACGGTAGGATAATGGAAATAAGTTAAGGTGTCTCAGTCTGTCTTCGTAATATAGGCCAGATAGACCCTGCACCATCTTAGTACCTCGTCGTTGGACTCCTTCCAACATATCTGCTCCATGCTTGAAACAAGGACTCACTGCTTGAATCTCATATTCTAAGTGTGGTCGCAAGTAAATCGGGTATCATAATTCAAACATTTTGTCATCTAAATACTGGAAAGACCTACGAATTGACCATAATAACCTGTAGCCTCTTGCAGCAGCCTTACAATGACTAGTGGTTTTGAGATCATTGCTTAATTTGACTCCTAAATCTTTATAGTTTCTTGCTTTGGGTAGCACGAATCCACGTAGTGTATAGTCATACGATTCATCAGAGTTATTTAACTGCATCACTACACTCTTATTGGGATTTACTTCTAGTGACCACATGTCTAACCATGCCACCAATGAGCTAAGATCGTCCTGTAATACTATTCTATCCGACACACCATGTATGGGTCTCCAAATCTTTATGTCATTAGCGAAGAGTAGGACGGATGATTTCGCTACCGTTGGCAATTCATTTACATAAAGTAAAAAAAGAAGAGGACCTAGGATTGTACCTTGGGGAACCCCACTTTTTACAGGTACCCACGAGGAGAGAGCCCTGTTAATCCTTACATTTTGTGTCCTGTCATGGAAAAAGTTACTCATCCAATCCACGACTGTATAATGAATTCCAAAACGTTCCAGTTTGAATTTAAGACCAGAGTGGGAAACCTTATGAAAGGCCTTACTTAGATCTATGAAGATCACATCTACAGGAATATTCCGATCTTATGCAGTAGCCCAGTATTCTCTTGGAATGAGATTTGTCAAGTATGATATGCCTCTCTGAAAACCATGTTGTTCCCAGGAGAAAAGATAATGCCCTTCAACATAGTTTATAACAGATATCCGAATGATTTTTTCCACCAGTTTTACAACCTCACAAGTTAAGCTAACGTGTCTATTGTTACTAACTAAATCCCTACTCCCAGCCTTATACACCGGACATATTATGGCGTCTTTCCAGTCTCTGTGCAGTCTGGAATACCTCAGCGACATGTCGAACAGTATCGCTAATGGTCCAGTAATTACATCTGATCTGGCATTCATAATCCTGGATTGAATATCATCAGGACCAATGGACATATCAGGTTCGAGATGCTGAAAAAGCCTTAAGACTGTTCATTTCTCAATAACCACAGGGTCCATCGGCGAACCACGGAAATCACAATGAATCTTTGGTCTTTCTTCATTACTGACAGCAAACATTTTACTGCAATATTCTTGTATCAAAAGTGATGGAATTCCACCACTTCTCTGAGTTTGCCTTTTTACATACGGGAATAACCGTTTCGGACTATATCCAAAATCCATAACTGGACTTGTATTGTTCTAAGCCAGTAGAGATGAATATATTCCAGTGCTTCTTCCTGCTTCTAAGAAGTTTTCTGACTGGTTTAGTTATCCATAATGGACTGTTATTCGGTTCAGGCATGGCATGAACGAGGACGTAACTAAACCAAACTTATCTTAAAATACAGACCATGGTTCTTAAACTGATAAGCTAGTCTCTACAAACCAATCTGTATTAGCAGCGTGTGGTGGACCAAAAGGTATATTGACCATGAATTAGTAATAAAGTTATTACGTCCAAAAGTTAATGTAACCCTAATAATTTATAAATTAGTAACACAAAATAAAAGTCAGGGACGTTACTTAAATCAGCTAGCTGTCGCGTATTCCGTTGAGTTTTGGTACCAAAACCCACAACTATAAATGATTAATAACTCCGATGAGGTAAATGTGACTCCAGTAAGTTTCCTTGACGTAGGATGTAATTGAAATGGCACAACAGTCTAAAATGTGGACAATATTCGATTTAGAATGCAAGTGGCTCAATAACGCGTGAGAATAGAACAAGGAATGTATGTACGTAGTAGTGTATTTGCGAACAACCACAAGTGTGTCACGCTATGTCAGTATCACAACGGAAAAAGTGGTCAAGGTCATTGACTAAAACAACAGGTACAATCATTTAATGATAACTATACAGACAGTTAATGATTGGCAAAATAAATACAAATAATATTAAAAACTATTTACAAAATAAGCTTGTCAGGTCTATCACCACATGGCTCCCCCCAGAGTGTCCGGAGGTAACACTGGTTATTACAACAACAACAAAAAATGTAAGAATATGATATATACATTTACACAAAAATAATATTTACAGTTATAACCAACAAGGATGTGAAGACGCTTATGATATGTATATTAGTGAGATATTCCGTGTGTTATTGTGTGATAATAGCGATGATGTAGCATAGCATAACGAAAACAAAAGAAAAATGAAGACAGTCATTCAATGTCTTGTTTTGCTAACAATGATAATAATGTGCAAAACTGTTGATAAACCCACACACACACAAAAAAGAACTGTTTATTTTTGTGCACAACAAATGAATAATTAAATGGAGTTTACTCGTTTATTGACGCAACAAATTTTTTTGAATAAAATGTGACAAAACGAATAGTTGTTAAAAAAAATTGATTATGTACACTGTGAAAAGAGAAAAAAATTGATTGAAATTAGTAGTGATGGACATCGGTAGATGTTTGCTTTGGCTTTTTGTTTATTTTTTTTAATCGACTAAGTGGACATAACGCTTTGGTTTGTTTATAAGTCTACCGAAGCGTGTTAAACAAGAAGGCTTAGAATTACGTTTTTTATCCTCCACTGGTTTTTCAGTCACTGGTGGGAGTAGCTGTTTGTCAACAGCGTTGTCTTCTTTGAATTGAGTAGCTTCATAGAAAGCAGGTTTTATTCTGTCAACAGAAATAGTCTGCTTGTTGCCATCTCTGTTGATGATGAAGTATTTTTATGTGCGTTTAATTACTTTATATGGGCCTTCGTATGGTTTCAATGGTTTTTTAACCGCATCTACTCGGACGAAGACAAATTTGCACGTTTCAAGGTTTTTATCAAGTTGGACTCGATAGTTGTTTTCGTGAGGGGATATTGTTTTAATATTCTGCATCGTTTGTAATAGGCAATTTGCGAAGTGAGTAGAATCCCCTGGCGTTGTAGGTTCATAGTTGACTAGTTGACCAGGTAACGTTAGAGTTGTACCATAGACTAACTCGGTGGCTGTACGTCCAATGTCTTCCTTCATGGTTAAACGAATACCGAGGAGTACAAGCGGCAAGGCATCGCTCCACGTTGATTAGTCAGCTTGCGCCATCAGTGAGCTTTTTAATTGGCGATGGAATCTTTTAACCAACCTCCTAGAAGTTTAGTGAACTCCTGAAAAAGGACAGACTGAAATTGGGGACCACGATCTGTTGTGATTATTGATGGTACCCCAAAAGTTAGATATCCAGCGGTCGAGAAAAACTAAAGCGACTGTTTCTGCCGAAGTGTCTTTTATGGGGGAGGCTTTGGCCCACCCAGTAAACCTGTCTACTGCGGTGAGAATGTGGGTGAAGGATTTGGACGGAGGCAGTGGCCCAACTAGGTCCAAATGAATATGTTGAAAACGTTTGTCGGGAATATGGAATTCCCGATTTTGCTGCGTCGGCACTGTGAGCAGCCACGTGTCCAACGATTAACATCCGAATTGATTTTTGGCCAAGCAAAGCGTTCTGTGATAAGCTTTGTGGTAGCTCTGATGCGACAGTCCATGTAGCTGTTGAAATATTTTTCGTCGACAGGGTTGTGGTACAAAGGGGCGATCGTTACCCATTGAAGTGTCGCAAATAATAGATGCATCTGAGAAAGGAATGGGTACAGGTTTAAGATTCAAGTTAGACTTCTCTTTGCAGGTCTTCAAATCCGCATCGTCCACTTGTAGTTTAGCTAAAGCTTGGAGGCTGATGTTGTGGTTGTGTACTATCATGTTGATATCCTTTCTAGATAAAGTGTCTGCGACAATGTTGGAGGAGTCTTTGATAAACTGGATGTCCGTAGTATATTGAGAAATAGAATCCAGTTGCCTGGCTTCCTGTGGGGAATGCTTGTCGTACGACGTCTTAAAGGAATAGCAAAGGGATTTATGATCAGTCATAAAACAGAAATAACGGCCTTGTAGCAGGAAGTTGAAATGTTCTACAGCTAAATATATAGCCATAAGTTCACGTCCGAAGGTGTTTAACGCTCTTGAGTTTGCAATAATCCCTTGGAAAAGAACGCTATAGGAGTAATCTTGTCATTAACGCACTGATGTAATACTGCTCCTACTGCTTTCAGGGAGGCGTCAGTGCAGAGGATAAGGTGCGTTGTGGGGCCGGTGTTTAGATGCTTTAGCATGGAAGCATTGGATGTCATCAATTTCGCTTTAGCGAAAGCCTCTCCGGCCTCGAGCGTTAACGTGAAGGTATTGTCTTTTTTGGTCTGAGCTGCGGTTTTATCCATCTTCAGTAAATCCGTCAAAGGTTGCAAAATGGCCGCACAGCGAGGGAGAATACGTCTGTAAAAATTGCACATCAACAGGAACCGGAGTAATGCCTTGATCGACTTGGGCTCGGGAAAGTTGACTATGGCTTCGACTTTTTCTTCAAGCGGTTTGATTCCTTGGGAATCAATGTGATGTCCCAGGAATTCCTGAATGGCTGGTATGTTAGCTTTCCATACATCTGTTGTTGTAGGTTTTCTATAACTTTTGTTGGGTACAAAATCGAAATACGGATGATGGCCTACTTTTTGTGCAATATAATGACTTACCCGATGCAAACTGTACTAGAGCTTCATTGGCACGTGAAGGCCAGTTGGAGATCAATTACCGCTATATTGAAACTGTTGCGTTGTAACGCATTTGTGTTCTTGCTCTGCTAACTTCGGTTCTTGTTTATCAAGCCGTCTTAATCTCGCTATTGTTGTGAGTTGCCTTCACCTCCTCAGCACTCAACATAACTTTGGCTGTACATAAATCAGTCAGAGGCTAAACGTTATAGCTGAACGCTAAGGAATTCCGAGTGAGTTGACGCATGAAAATGATGCTGTTAGTTACCATACTCACGAATTTTAGTATAAAAATTGCAAGCTACTGTATGTTTATGTGTCAGAAACTGAGACCTTAGAACTAAACTCGTTCGTAACACCGAAGCACCCCAGTCTTCCTATTTTGGAGAAAATTTTGTCTGTTTTGGGGAAATGGCATAGAAACCCCTAAATTCTCCCAGGTTTGGGGAAATCGTCAAAGCGTTCGGTGAAATTTCGGGTTCTACGCTGAACCTTATGACGCTGGGGTTTCTCCCCAAACTTTAATGAAAACTACCATATTTATTAGGACTTTAGGGAAAACCCCAAAACTTACCCAAAGTAGGGAGACTGGGTCACACTCAGTTATTCACACTTTAATAACAACCAGTGACTAGTCACTGGTGGATCTCTTAAATTTATTCAGTAACTTGATTGTAGATAACAAAATTAATGTGACATCGCTTTGCATAGGGTTCGCAGTTTCTATGGTATTCACTAAAAACTGTTTCGTTAATAACAATTTCTATTATTATCGTGAAGATCTCTGTATTCGCCAACCAATTTTTAACCCCCAACAGAAGCGGGGGCTTTTATTCACTCCAGTAACTTTAAGTCTTCCTACAGTTCTCCCAGAGTCCTCGCATCTAATGTTTGTTTACAATCTTACAAGTAGCGGTGTACCAGCGAACTAAATACTGACTAATCACTGATAAATATACGGAAAAGGTTATAGCTTAGAATTGCTTCGTGCTGTACACTGGACATCGACACTGTCATAGAACTCCTTCACATCCAAGATAATGACTGGTAATTCAGACCCACGCCATTGCCTTTATAGTCAGGAAACTTGAAGCCCCCAAATGCCCTGGTATGGCCGAGAGTGGGGTGGGCCCTCCCTCCCTCTCGAAATGCTCTCACACAGCCACGCGTATTAAGCCCCTGCCAGGGAAGTCCTACTCACTGCCTTCTCGTGGCGGGGGTGTTGTTTACGAAAATGAGAGGACGAAAAGCGAATGTCCGGCGCTTTAACCGGATCCCAAACCAATGGCGCACATGGGCTCCAGTACCCTGCGGGAACAAATGGCGTACGAACTAATCGTTGGTCACCGGCAACCATGGGACTGCATCTCCTTACGATGCTCCACTGCCTTGTGGGTCAGACCTTTAGGTCAAAGGCTCGGGGTGTGGTCCCCTAAGAAAACCACTTATTTCGGTCTGGGCGCCTGGGCAGTATCACAGCCCACACACACAAATATGGTGTGGCGCATATATATTTGGTGCCCTCTTGTACCAATATTTGTGTTGAAATAAATAAATAATAATAAACAGGATACTTGGTAAGGATATTGAATGCCTTGTCGAAATCAATAAGCGGTATCAGTCAACTTTCCGATCTCGCTGGTTTGTCAGGCTGTCCTACACTATCAAGATATTTTAAGTTCACAACCTACCTTTCCTGAAGCCATCATGTCTCGTTAGTACCTCCATTTTGCTCCATAAACTTTATTTGGTTTTCGGCCAGGATTTCCATGACTTTTCAGAATCTTTCTCACTTAAATTGTGTCTTTACTCAAAGAGTATGTTATATTACGTACTGCACAATGTTAAAGTAACATCTAGATCTGGACAATGAAGTTAGGCGTCCAAAAGTCAAACTTCACAGACTTAGAATACAACCTAACGTCTTCAACAAAGATAGCAGAAATATGTCGGTCATCTATTTTATTATTTATTTAAACACAAACATGGGTACGAAAAGGCACTAAAATAAATATGTGCCACACGAAATTTGTGTGTAGACTGGAATGATTCTTGAATGCCAGAACTGAAACGCATGGTTTCCTAGGGGGTCACTTCATTGGCCTTTAATCCATAGATCTAACCCATAACGCAAGAGAGCAAGGTCAGAGGACACAGTCCTATGGTAGCCGTTGACCAAGAGTAGGTTTATATGCCATTTGTTCGCTCAGTATCGTGGGGCCTATGTGCACCACATCATTAGAATTGGGGTTTTCCAAATCCATACTCAACAGCACATTTTGAAGACCGAATATTGCATTTCGTCCGCCGCCGCGAAAAGCCAGTGTGTAGGACTTTCTGGGCAGTGGATACATGTGCGTGTCCATACGGAAGCGTTTTGAGGAGAGCATTCTTTCCAAACCCTCTGCCGTTTTAGTGTACTCGGGAGTGTCAATTATCTATGTGGATACTGAACGCGGCCGCTGTTGGAGCATGTTGTTAAAACATACCCTCTCATCTTCCAACTGGGAAAACAAGCAATCTAGGTTATCCCGACCGCGCTTTCTGGACATATCTGTACTAGCGCCCGGAACAGGTTGTCGTGGATCAAGCAAAAAGATTAGGGGTCGACTAGTCTTCATGGAAAAGATTGGAAAGTTCTGTCATCAACTTATTACTTACAATTTAGAGGCACTTTTAATGAGAGTGGTCTGACAATTGGTGTCTAGTCTTTATGTTATAAGTTTTGGGGTTTCGGCGAGTATCACTAGCCCTCTTGCAATGTGATCGATATCCGACTGCGTAAGCTCGTATTTAGTAAACCCATCGAATTGATTCCAGTAATGAGACATGTATTAGCCTCTAGAATACAATATTTCAGATATGGTCTCACTCAGATGAAGTCCTATACATGTCAACGTCAAAGTTTCTGTGATGTGACTGTTACACAAAACCTAATGTCTTGTCAATAGTACCTTGATAATTACGGTGACCAATATACGTTGGTGAACTGTTACTAGGGTTAATCTTCAAGCATCAACTTTTGGACCATATTTGCCATCTCGAAGCGCAAAGTCCAAGTCACACCTTGCTGTACACTCCCCACAAGTTTCTATCCAGATAGCGTCCCGTTTACTCTTTCCTTATCTTCAGAATCAGAAGATGCTCCTCGTCCAAGTTATGTCCAATATCACGAATTTTGTTTGGAAGGGATAATAACGACCAACAGTGTCTTACCCAAACCCTACAGGTTTTCTGTTACTTATTCATAGAAAGACTTCCTTTCATGGTAAACACTTATCTTTAAGAAGATACGGAGTACTATCTGTATGTGACCTGTCAGCATAAGGATCACAGCATATTTCATTTTTTTAAAATGAGCTTTTGTTTGGATCTAACTTGGTATTACCTAAGACACACTATACAAAATTAGGTTTATTAAGACAGTTACGAAATAAATTTATTTAATTGGTTTTGTCTGTTTTACATAACCTGGATGAATAAATTGCTAGTGTGAAAGCATGTTCACATATTCCCGAGATGTTTAAATAATTGTAATAGAACTTAGTGTATTTCATACCACTATATATATATATATATATATATATATATATATATATATATATATATATTGTATGTCAACGCACTACTGTATTTACTTTTGTATAGGACTCGTTCCTTTGACGTAATATATTTGATCATCTGTACAGCGAACTAATTTTTACAATTTTATTATGGCGCTAAACATTGTTGCCAGGTTTTCGCGCAGTGTTAATTTAAATACTACACACTTGGAGCAGTTTCGGTAAGTTTTCGTTTTTGTCTATTTTTTTTACACTAGTTGCCCTGTGACTTCTATTGGAAAAGGCTACTTTGGATTGCATCTCAATCGTAAATTTAGCACAGAAGCCGTTGGAGAGTCAACGCCGAAGGAAAGTGATAAAGAAATAGAATCCTTAAAGACTGAAATGCAGAAAATAACTGAAAGATATAATGATTTAGATGACAAATATAAAAGGGCTCTCGCCGAGTCCGAAAACATGCGTAAACGTTTGATGAAACAGATAGATGAAGCCAAACTATTCGGTATCCAAAGTTTCTGCAAAGATTTACTGGAAGTGGCTGATATTTTAACGTCTGCTACTAAATCAGCTCCTCAAGACCAATTAAAAGATGGAGTTAATCCTCCGTTCGCTAATTTGTACCATGGATTAGTATTGACAGAAAGCCAGTTGTTCAAGGTAAGAGCCCTTTGTGATCACATCCTATATTTCGAAAATTTCCCATAAATTACTTGGCACTTCTGTGTGGTTCAGTGTAGTTCTTCGTTGTAGATATTGAACTGAACCTCTCCCTTTTTACACTACCAAGTCAACTTAAGTAATCGATAGTAAATATGTTACAAGAGAAACACATAGCTATAGTGTACATATAAATGTGTCCCCAGTCATAAGTGTAAGGTATAACTGAAACATCATTTGTAGGAACCCAGTTGACGTTTTCGGCTCCTTACCTTCCTTTTTCCTCTTCCGATTCTCATTGGTCTGTGTTGCGCGTATGTATCTGATGCCTCCTACCAATATTTATGTGTTCAAATAAATAAATAATAAACATTCAGATAACGCCACGAGACTGTACACTACAAAGCTATATAAACGACAATGAAGTTTCAAAATAGTGAATTTACTTATACTTCCATTTGGAGCACCATGATGTACCTGATGAGATCGTCATTATTTATTTATTTATTTGGACACATGAATATTGGTACAAGAGAGCGCCAATATATATGTGCCACACAAAACAATGAAAATTCGAGAGGAATACAAAGGAAGAAAAAAAAGCTAAGGAGCGCAACAAAAAAAAGAGAGAACAATAACGAAGAGATTGGAGTAAGGTAGTGTGGTAGTAACGACGAAACGAAAAGGTACAATCATAAGAAATCTTTCAGGTAAGGGAGACACAACCACTTTTTATGAAGAAAGTAAAAGAAGGTTACAGCAGGATCGCCACTGGCTTCTATTCTGAGCCATATCTGATAACGTCTCTAGCCACTGTGTAGCACCATCTCTCAGAACCCAACCAGGGAGTCGTGAAGGACCAACACAAGCCAGTCCTTTGCAGCTTTCTTTCATGCCACGACACCATGTCATGCACTGACCACCTCTCCACTTCTTCCAACCAGTCCCAGAGTCGGCAAATAATGCACGACGTGGAATTCTCTGAGACGACATTCGGAGAACATGTCCAAGCCACCGAAGTCGGTGTTTCAAGATGGTAACACCAATTGAATTATCATCTCTGTGCCCGAACACACGATGCCGAGCCTCTGCATTACTGACATGGTGTTGCCACTGAATGTCAGCAATCCTTCGGAGACAGCGATGATCGAACACAGAGAGTCGTCTAACGTCCTCAACTCGGAGAGGCCAGGTTTCACAAGCATAGAGCAAAACTGCTCACACTGACGCGTTGTAGATCCGACCTTTTACAGCCAGACTAACATCACGAAGGCGCCAAAGATGGCCCAGATTGGCATAAGCCGCGCTGGCTTTCACTATACGTGCATTGATCTCATCACTCACACCCCCACCAGCACTTATGCAGCAGCCTAGATACACAAACATCTCGACCACTTCTATCTGCTCACCATCTAGGGTGAGTACAGGATTAGAATCCTGCCAGTCTTGTAGAAGTACTTTGCACTTCGAAGGTGCAAAGCACATACCATACCTACGGACACTGATTGCCAATTGATTAAGTGCGGATTGCATGCCTTGGGCATTATCGCACAGTAAGACAATATCGTCCGCATACTCAAGGTCGAGAAGTCTTTCTCCAGGCAACAGATCCACACCACCATTACTTACATTCATCAGAGCTGTTTCCAGAATGTCATCGATGGCAAAGTTGAAGAGGAATGGTGAGATCGGGCAACCCTGCCTAACCCCACTACTCGAATGGAACAATGGAGAGAGGTGGTTGTATGCCCTCACTCTGCCTGAGGTGTTTTTATATAGGGCTTTTAGGATGTTAATAAACTTCTCAGGCACACCCTTCTTCAATAGACAATCCCAGAGAACAGTCCTATCCAACGAATCGAAGGCAGCCCTGATGTCAAGAAACACTACGATTGTTGGCCTTTGATAAGTATGGCGATGTTCTAACATTTGGCGGAGGGTGAAGATATGATCAATACATCCTCGACCAGAACGAAACCCAGCCTGCTCCTCGCGAGTCAATCTTTCTTGGGTTTTGAACAACCTACGAAGTATGATGGAAGCCAATAGCTTGGACGCAATCGGAAGTAGACTTATCCCCCGATAGTTGTTGCAGGAACGACGTGAACCCTTTTTAAAGATAGGGACAACTATCGACTCATTCCATGACGTTGGTACACTCTCTAGTTCCCAAACCTTTGTAAACAACGTCGTCAATTCCTTAGTCAAAAAGTCACCACCATCTTTAAAAAGAGCCGGAGGTAAGTCATGTGGGCCAGGTGATTTGTAACGCTTCAAGAGTTGGAGTTCCTTGCGGACTTCCTCCTCGTTTGGTGGATCAGTCGTCACCGGCCATGGAGGGCAGGACAGTCTGACCGATGTTGCCGGAGCAGCAGGCCAGTTGAACTGCCCTTCAAAAAATTCTGCCCATCGTCCAAGACGTCGATGGATGTTAGTGATTGGCATCCCATCATCCTCGCAGATTGTTTCACACACTAGACTTCTTGCTGCCAGTGGCTCGGATGAGCTGGAAGAGCTTCCGGTAGTTACCAGATGCAGCTGCTGCTTCCAGCTCATTAGCACGCTTCGACCACCAGGCTTCTCGGTCCTTACGCAAGCTTTGCCCGATTTCCTTACGTAAAATCCTTCGTTTATGGTCAAACTCACGGTTACCCGGAGTAGACCGACGGGCTTCGATGAGTTGTAAGGAACCAGAAGAAACCCAGTGCTTAAAAGCGGGACGTTTCGCAAACCCACAACTGACTGTTCCCGCCATTTTCATGGCGTCATGCAATTGCAACCAATGCTCATCTATACTTTTCGGTGGAGTGGTAGCTAGCCTAGAGGCTAGCTCGGTTCGATACTTACTTGCAACAGAAGTTGCAACCAGCTTGCTAACATCAATCTTTTGGTGGTGGTCACTTCGTTGGCCACTGAAAAGTAAGGCAAGATTGGCGCAGACCAAGGCATGGTCAGAGTCCAGATAGGTACTCCAAAAGGAGCGGCAGTCTTGTACACAACCACGCCAGCGGTAGCTGATCGCGATGTGATCAATCTGAGTCCAGGCTTGAGATGCAGAGGGAGGACGCCAGGTGGCACATCGGCGATGACTGTGCCGAAAGTTAGTGCTAGCCAGAAACAGGTTGTGGTCTGTGCACAGTTGCAGTAGACGGTCCCCGTTATCTGTCCTGCGACCAACGAGTCCCCATCGGCCACCTAAACGACTCTCTTCTGTGCCTAGACGCCCGACCTGAGCACTCCGGCTGGTACTACAATATCTGTCGAACGTACTTTCTGGAGAAGAACAGTTAACTGGTGGTAGAATTCATCCTTGATTGCATCCGGGCTGCAATCTGTCGGGGCATAGACGGGGATGACGAAAACACATCGTTTCTCACGCCGATTTCTTCTCACGTTTATGGAACTTTCTAATCTAACAGCACATAACCGACTGTTAATGGGGATCCAATCGATTAGTGCTGCCTCAGCTCTAGCGCTTAGTGTGACACCAACACCAGCAAGACCAGACGAGGATGCCACAGGGTCCCCGGATAAGCGCACGTAAAACAAGCTTTTCGAAGTGACAGATGTAGAGCGAATTTGTAGTACTTCACCAGAGTCTTGAATACGGGTCTCGGATAGACAGCAGACATCGATATTAAGACTTTCCAAAGACATAGCCAGCCCTATCTGTTGTCCAACCTGCATAAGTGTGCGAACGTTGAAGGCAGCCAGTTTGAATGGCGCACGTGGTTTCAGAAAAACTGCTTCAGTACTCATATTCGGTGGTAACATACAATTTTCAACCGGACAGTGACTCGAGAACGTTTAGATACAGTCGGATTTCCACCAAAGACGAGCCGCTGTATAAGTATAAAAGAGGGTAAATAATGTGGAAAATAATAATAATAATGACAATAATAGTAGTAATAATAGTATTAATAATGACAATAATAGTAATGATAATTATTTCAATCGACTGATTGTTTTTCGGAGCGAGAAAAGTGGTTGCCATAGACATAGAGTTCATCGTTTGTGTGTGGGCTGTGATACTGCCTGGGTGCCCAGACCGAAGCAGGTGGTTATCTTAGGAGGCCACTCCCCGAGCCTTTGACCTAAAGGTCTGACCCACAAGGCAGTGGAGCATCGTAAGGAGATGCAGTCCCATGGTTGCCGGTGACCAACGATTAGTTCATACGCCATTTGTTCCCGCAGGGTACTGGAGCCCATGTGCGCCATTGGTTTGGGATCCGGTTAAAGCGCCGGACATTCGCTTTTCGTCCTCTCATTTTCGTAAACAACACCCCCGCCACGAGAAGGCAGTGAGTAGGACTTCCCTGGCAGGGGCTTAATACGCGTGGCTGTGTGAGAGCATTTCGAGAGGGAGGGAGGGCCCACCCCACTCTCGGCCATACCAGGGCATTTGGGGGCTTCAAGTTTCCTGACTATAAAGGCAATGGCGTGGGTCTGAATTACCAGTCATTATCTTGGATGTGAAGGAGTTCTATGACAGTGTCGATGTCCAGTGTACTTCACCGGTTCAAAGTATACACTATATTTGCGTTGTTCCTGTGTGCTTTCTGTCGGTCAGTCAGTCAGTCAGTAACAACGTAGAACTTCGTACGCACGTACATCAGTTCGAGTTGCCACACCACATTAGCACAGAGATGCAGTGGTCGATTCAAATCCCGTAGTGGTAGAGGTGGTAAGAGTATAAGCATGAATCGGAAAGATTAGGGTTTGAACATGTTATTTAAAGAATATAATCCAGTGAAATAAATTTGGAGAGAGAAAAATAAAGAAATTTTATTTATTTATTTATTTGAACACATAAATATTGATACAATAGAGCGCCAATATATATGCGCCACATAAAACAATGGGAATTCGAAGAGAAGTAAAAAGGAGAAAAAATAAACTAAGGAACGCAAAAGAAAAAGAGAACAATGACGAAGAGATTGGAGTAAGGTAGTGTGGTAGTAACGACGAAACGAAAAGGTACAATCAGAAGAAGTCTTTCAGGTAAAGGAGACACAACCACTTTTTATGAAGAAAGTAAAAGAAGGTTACAGCAGGATCGCCACTGGCTTCTATTCTGAGCCATATCTGATAACGTCTCTAGCCACTGTGTAGCACCATCTCTCGGACCCTAGCCAGGGAGTCGTGAAGGACCAACACAAGCCAGTCCTTTGCAGCTTTCTTTCATGCCACGACACCATGTCATGCACTGACCATTTCCATAGGCATAAAGAGTTCATCAATTTTTGTGTGGGCTGTGATACTGCCCGGGTGCCCAAACCGAAGCAGGTGGTTATCTTAGGGGGCCACCCCCCGAGCCTTTGACCTAAAGGTCTAACCCACAAGGCAGTGGAGCATCGTAAGGAGATGCAGTCCCATGGTAGCCGGTGACCAACGATTGGTTCATACGCCATTCGTACCCGCAGGATACTGGAGCCCATGTGCACCATTGATTTGGAATCCGGTTAAAGCGCCGGACATTCGCTTTTCGTCCTCTCATTTTCGTAAACAACACCCCCGCCATGAGAAGGCAATGAGTAGGACTTCCCTGGCAGAGGCTGTATACGCGTGGCCGTGTGAGAGTATTTCGAGAGGGAGAGCGGACTCTCCCCACTCTCGGCCGTACCAGGGCATTCAGGAGATTAGAATTTGGGAGAACACAAAGAGTGGATGCACCTGCGCCATTGCAAACGATTTTGAGCCATGTCATTCAGGGTCTCTAACCATCGGTTGCTATCATCTCGCGTTCCCCAACCAGGTAGTCTACACCTACCAACATGACTTCATGGACTTGTGCCATGTTTTGGTTTGTCCGCCTCTAGCTTTCTTCCAACCTACTCCTATACCACCGAACATAGCACGTCGAGGTAGTCGGTCGTTGGGCATACGTAACACGTGTCCCAGCTATCTCAACTGATGAAGTTTCACTACGTCATCAATTGATTTGCCATCCTTACCTAGTACCCGTTTCCTAACAACTGTGTTACTTACTCGATGGTCTCATGATATACGAGCAATGTTTCGAAGACACCTATGATCGAATACTAGTAACCTACGAATATCCTCTACTCTTACCGGCCATGTTTCACTGCCATAAAGTAGGACGGAACGAACTGCTGCGCAGTAAACACGTCCTTTGGTTAATAGACGGATATCTCGCCTACGCCATAAATGACGCAAGTTGGTAAAAGCTAGTCGAGCCTTCTGTATCCGTGCTGAGATTTCGTCACACACCAGACCACAAAGGCTGATGAGACTATCAAGATAAGTGAAGCGATCGACACGCTCAATTACTTCACTCCCTATCATTATTTCCGGTGTCGATGTAACCCAATCCTGAAGCAACATTTTGCATTTCGAGGGAGAGAATCGCCTCCCGAACATGCTTGCATTGTTGCTTAAGGTGGTCAGAAGACTCTTCATTTTGTCAGCATCTTCACCAAATAAAACTATGTCATCAACATATTCTAAGTCAACAAGTGATTCTCCCGGTAGAAGTTCAATCCCTGGAAATCTAGATGAAGAGAGTGTTATCTCTAAAAGTACGTCAATGACAAAATTGAAGAATGGGGAGAGTGGACAGCCCTGACGAACACCACTTGAGGTAATCAATTCTGATGACAGTTCGCCATAAGCTCTCACTCTACCAGTTGTGTTCGAGTAGAGAGCCTTTATAAGGTTAATGTACTTCTTTCAGTGACAAACACTGCCATAGAAACTTACGATCAACAGAGGTCAAGAAATACCATTTTGCGGCATCTGAATGTGTGTCTGTGTTCTAGAACCTGACGAAGTGTGAATATCTGATCTATACAATCACGTCCAGGTCGCAAACCAGCCTGATTTTCTCTAGTCTGCTCTTCACGAGCTTTGGTTAGGCGTCGAAGTATTATTGAAGCTAATATTTTAGACACTATATTTATCAAACTGATTCCTCTGTGTGCTTTCTGTAATATCTAGTTATTATCTGCTCGCTTAATTATATTTTCCCTGGTGTTAGGTCGCTGTGAGTTAAACATGCGTGTTGATGTACTCACTTCGTTCAACCTACCTAATCCAATTACATACGGTAACGAAATGAGCATAATTGACGAGCAGCAAACTTTTGTCTTGAACAGATATTAGTTGCGGCGTAATGTGTACTATATATTTACTACCCACTAAACTTCAGCATGGTATAAAATAACTGACAAACGCTAACTAGATTCACTTATAAGTGCAATCGTTTCACCATCAGCTTAACCATAAATGCGATGAGCCAAAATGAATTTATTATAACTGCACCACTTGTTTTATAATCCAAATTTATAATGGGGTATCACAACCATTTAATAAAGCTCATTAGACAAAATAAAAACGGTTATAGTAGCTTCCGGTTTTCAATTATCATAGCTAAGATTTAAATATTTCTTTTTTGTTACACATTAGGTTTTCTCCCGCTATAACTTAGTCCAGATTTCTCCACAAGTTGGTGAACATTTTGACCCAAATATCCATGAAGCTGTGTTCCAAGCTCCTTTGGAAGCTGGAAAGGAAAAGAATACAGTCGCTGTGGTAACAAAAGTAGGTTATCAATTACATGGACGACCTCTGAGACCGGCGTGTGTTGGTGTGTTTGGACCTTAAAATAATTAGATCTGAAGTACTCTAGGAAGCTTGATGACAATGTTTGTTGTACACTTTATCTCATTATGATTCTTTGTGTAAATGCATATTAAAGTTTTTCCTTCTTAGTAGTAAGTTATATCGTTGCATAAGCAAGCTGCCGCATCGATGTTGATAATTCTCATTCATATTCAAACATAAATAAGTAGAATGTCAAACTGTTTAACGATCAAAAGTTTTGCTGCCTCAAAAAATACAGTGTGGAACAATGTATAGGGATCAATATTTCTTACTTTTTCTAGGCCAATTTACCGAAAGTCATTCTCCACATGAACTTAAATTAGTAAGTATGGAGAAATCTGTAAGGATTGGACTTACATAATGATTGGTAATATTTGGTAAGACTCAACCGTTAATAATGTTGCACTCCCTTAATAAACCATTCAATCCATTGTATTCTGAGTATCTGAGTAAGATAAACTATCTATTCTCCAAGAACAAAACGGCACTTCAACGACTCTAAAGTGTAGATCATTTGAAAAAGACGTTTTTTCAAGACTGACTTTACCATCTCTGTTCGGTATCGTTAACTCTCACGCAAATAAACAATTCGCAGATGCATTTGAAAATATTTCCTTATTATAATGAAACTTAAGGGGGTGCACCACCTTTTCCAGAAGGGAATGATGGCATATGCTCTGCATACTTGGGCATAGTTCTAATAATCTTTATCTTATTACACTAACCAAAGTTGTTTGAATTGATGAGTTGAGGATTTTCGTATCGCCTCGTGATTCAAGGGTCTGATTAATACCTACCAATGTCAGATAAAACAATTACCTGGTCTTACTATCAAGTTCTCTCGTCTGTAGAGCATCAAAGAAGCACCAAACAACGCCCCATAGGGATTAACCGGAAAGCCTAACCTAATGAGTATTGTGGTCTCTTCAGAGGTATTGCTTCTAGTTCATCTGCTATTTAAAGCCACTGACCCTATAAATATTTGTTTCTGCCGAAGTTCAACAAGCGGGTGTCCAGATGTGACGATGTTAAAGTAAGAATGTCATTTTCACAAAGTACATCCACTACCGGTCAAAAGAACAAGTCACAATCTTTCTTAGTTAGCCTGTAATTTATCCTATGCTATGAAAATATTCAAATAATAGGCGACAAACATGAGACTGCACCAAAAATTCTTCCCTGTGAATTATCTGATGCCTGACTTTTCGCCCACTAGAGTATATACTGGCGAAGATCCAGTCATGCCTTAACAATGCATACAACTGAACAATCTAAGATCTCCGTTAATCATATCTCGAGTGAAGATGCTTGGTATGTGAAGCGTTTTAACAGTGAAGTAGTTGAATAAACGCCTCGCATATCCAGAAAATTACTTCCGTCATTAGTGACATAGTCTTATCTCAACTACAAAGTTCTTGTCCTGTTGAATGGACCATTCGATACTACTCGGGAACAAGTATGCAGCAGGGTAGTTGGCTATGCGTGGCATACACGGAATACGACCCCCTAAGTTCGTTGTAACGACGCGTATGATATGGCTATTTGACGGTATCATTACTAATAGCTTCAAATAACACTGGTGGGAAAGCCGTCCATGTAGCACCTAACCCTTTCTAGTAAGTATGACATTTAAGATCCCAGGATGCGTTTTATTGATTACCCACTATGTACTGCCTTCTAGTGATTAGTCCCGAAAATAAAAGCAGGTCTTCCAGTGAAATCTAAGTGAGTCTTTTTCCCTGAGAAATAATAATTGAAATGAACCTATTCTAGACGTTCAGACAAAGATACCGGCCTAGTTCATATGAATTATCGAGACTTTCAAAACCAAATAAGACAACTGGTGCAATCTCTCTGGTTAATGGACAGTCTTACTGGGACTGCTTAGAGCATCATCATAAAATAAAGTCGTCCTGATGATGTACTTTGTGTCGTTCGACTTGTAAATCAGTCGTAACATAATTCATATTTGTAAACCCAGAGCTAGACGAAGAAATTACACTAACTAAACCTCGTATGACCAAATTTCTGAGTTACCTCCTAAATTTGGAAACCTCATGTCCAATAGTCGATTTAGGTCTTTTGGGAGAAGTACAGAGAATCATTATCCGACCCAGTTTCTCTATTTTGATGGAAAATTTTGTTTGTTTTAGGAAACATTATTTGGAAACTTTGGGGAAATGGCACAAACGCACAAAAACTCCCCCAGGTCTGGGGGAAATTCCTAAAATGTTTGGGTTTTCCCCACACAATGGAGAAACTGCCACATTTCTTACAACTTCGGGGAAAACCCCAAATATGGGAGATTGGGGATAGATTCCAGATACTAAACTAGCAAGGCAGCACGTTCAAAAAGTTACAACTTTATACAATACCCTACCACAAATTGACTAGTTACAGTGTCTAGGACATTAAGAAATGGTTTAATTCGATCTAATCTATAATAACCCGGAAGTAACGTTTAGATGCAGCGATCAAGAATCCTAATAGATAAGTTTAAAGAAAACAGTTAATCAGAAAAAGATTAAACATCCACAGAAATGTATGGGGGAAATATTAACTCAGGTTTACCGTCCCCAAAACACTAATATCGTCTGAATCTTATATATTCTTCAATACTTTGGTCGCACATTATTTCTCACCTACTCATTATTTCGAAGACTTTATAATGTGTCTCGAAGACCAGTGTAACCGGTATTGTCGAATGAATGCAGCTACAAAAAGACTACGAACCACTAATGTATGAACATCTCATAAGCAAATTGCATTAAAAAAATTTATTACGTATACGTGATTACGGGGGAAAAGGGTTATTTTTCTGAAATACAATGATTAATTGCATTAAGGAGACGTACTATTCTCCGATCCGTGCTTAAGATTTTGTTCTCGTTGCTTTTCCTCATTATTGACTTGATAGTCAATGTGGATACGATTTGTCCTGTTTTCCGACTTTTTATGATGTTCCTCAACATCCCTCTTTGTTCTGTTTTTGCCGCCTTTAGACCCCGCTACATTATCCTCTTCGTAGTTGTAATGTTCGTACTCATCCATCACCTCACGTTGAAATATATTGGACACGCGCGCTAGTGTTGAAGTGTTCCAATGCACAAAATCAGTAGTTCTTTGTAAGATAAATCAGTGGTTTTTATCAAAGTGAATTCTAGTGAATGTAAAATATTGTTTTATCACTAATGAGACTTAATCCTATGAGGTCATTGTGCACTGTTTATCATCAAATTTCGTGCATCTATAAAATAATAATTCGTCATCGAAATGTCACGTTGTTTGTCCTAACGTCGTTGTTGTTCTAGATAAAAGAACTCAGCACGTGTTTCGAAAAGAAGTGAGGAACTTAGGACGTCTTCGTTATCGTTTGTTATAAAATTGAATTGGGTGATTTCAATCTTTCAAGTGGTCAGTGATTTATGTGAGGCTAAAAGTCCGTTGTATACATAGTGTTCTTCTAATCCAATATATCTTTTCAACATATGATTGGTTTTGGACGGCATGCATCCATTTGGAATCATATGTCGCTGAAGACTTTATTAAATCATAGGATATGACTAGTAAAATGTGACTGGGTTGTAGCTTAATGATGTCACAGGTATTCAGTGTTTGACAACGCTTCTACCAGTAACACCTTTTAATATATTTCGTTCCCGCCCAGAGAAATCAAAAGACAGAGTCGAGGAGATCGGAAGAGTATATTTGGCGATGACCAATATATCGGAATTCTCTGATCTAATCTGGCTAGCGATTGCGGTTGATGTTGAGCACGGCGTTACCACACGTGATCTGGTGCGGATGCCTGACCGAGCGCCTTCAGCTAGATGAGTCCACTAAAACATATGGTTAACATCCAATGTCGAAAACTTACAGAGCTATTTATTTTGGGGATTTATTTAACGCTACAGATCACTCCCCCCTAGTGGGGCAGTGACGACCCTAAGACGTGGCCAGCCAGAAGTTTAAACCCAACGAGTATGTCGTTGGTAAACACTCTTCTGATAGCTTACTAAATTTAGCAGCGTCTGGTCGTCTTTCCTTACTATATGGACGGAGGTACAACATAGTAAAAAAAGAAAATGTACAATGAAAATTTCGGATCCTCATAAACGTCATCGTTCTTTTCCAGCCGTCCTGGAAAAGAAAAAAGAAAATGTAAGTGCATGTCGAAATACACTCGTATGTGCGTAAAAGCACAATGTCGGCGGAAAAAAATGGAAAATAAACTCATGAACACGTAATAGCGTTAAAAAAATTGCTTTTTGTTTTCCTTTTTTTAAATAGAAATAAAAATATATAAGCATATTAAAATTGTTTTTTTTTTAAAATTATAATATAAAATGTCGAGAAGTGCCTTACGTGCAATAGTCGTTTAAATGTTCTGGAAATCTCACCCTTCTTCCAGAACGCGTCGTTTTAAGTTTATTTTCGGATACTGTCGAAGTATCATCGTGTGTGTTGGTTGTCGGATGAGGTATTATAAGTGTCGGAGTCGTGTCGTTCGATTGTACCGAAGGAAAATCCACGTAGATAGGATTTCCTTCTAAATACGCTGCTTTCAAGCGATCGATACTGATGCTATCGTTGGTTCCGTTCTTATCGACTATATAGTACTTAGATTCACGTTGAAGAACTTCGTCCTTCGTATGCTGATTCGAATGGTCGTCGATGCGAGTCTCGACGAATGAAAACGTGTGTACTATATCGTAAGTCAGGTTGAACGAAAACATCAGTTGATTGAGGTCGAGTGGAAGCAGGTTTAACTGAACGCATTGCGTTTGTAAGCCTGTTCGTGTAGGAGGTTAGATCCATGTTCATTGAAGAGGATGAAGGATCCACGAATTCTCCTGGAAGTCGAAGTGTCGTTCCATAGACGAGTTGAGCCGCAGTGTATCCAATGTCAGTTTTCACTGCATTGCGGATACCTAGTAAGACAAGTGGAAGAGCGTCGGTCCACTGTGAAACGTTTGCAGCTGATAGCGAAGCTTTCAGTTGTCGGTGAAAACATTCTACCAACCCGTTTGCTTGTGGATGGTAGGCGGTCGTTCGGAAGCGAGTGATTCCTAAAAGTGTGGTCAGACGACGGAAAAGATCGGATTCAAACTGACGTCCGCGGTCTGTAGTGATGGTTGAAGGGCAGCCAAAGTTTGCTACCCATCGTTCGACGAAGGTGCGGGCCACTGTTTCAGCAGTGATGTCCTTGATAGGTACTGCTTCTGGCCATCGAGTGAAACGGTCAACGCAGGTTAAGAGATAAGAGTATCCATTTGACTCTGGTAAAGGCCCTACCAAATCCAGATGAACATGGTCGAAACGAGCATCGGGAGTTTTAAACGAGCATAAGGGACATTTATTGTGTCTGATAACCTTAGATTTTTGGCAGCTTACACAGGAGCGTGCCCACTCCCTCACGTCTTTATTCATTCCAGGCCAGCAAAACCTTTCTGCTATAAGCTTGATGGTTGCACGAACACCTGGACGAGAAAGTTTGTGCAATGTGTTGAAGACATTGCGTCGATAATGTTTCGGCACGATTGGGCGATCCCTACCTGTAGATGTGTCACAAAGTAAGGTTTCCTTACCTGTTCCCATCTGTTTGATGCGTAGTTTAAGGGTTGTGGACGATAACTCGTGCTGAAGATCACTGTCTTCTTTTTGAAGCTCGGCGAGTTTAAGAAGGTCGATTCCTTGGAAACTGTTCAAGGAAGTTATGCGAGATAAAGCGTCTGCAACTACATTGTTTGCTCCAGAGATGTGTTGAATATCTGAAGTAAACTGCGAAATGTAGTCCAGTTGTCGAGACTCACGTGGAGAGTACTTGTCAGAAGGAGAGCTTAACGAGAAAGTGAGCGGTTTATGGTCCGTGAAAAGAGTGAATTCACGACCTTCGATGTAGTGTTGGAAATGCCGTACAGCACAATACATAGCTAGGAGTTCCCTACCGAATGTGCTGCACCTCGATTCGGTGTCTAGCAACCTTCTAGAGAAAAATGCCAAGGGTTGCCAGGAGTTGTTAACCCATTGTTGTAAGACTCCTCCGATTGCTGAGTCGGATGCGTCTACTGCGATGCTAATGGGTGCTCGGGTGTCCTGATGTGCGAGCATTGTTGCTTTAGCAATCAGTTCCTTAACTGTGGAGAATGCTTTTCGTGCGGTGTCGTCCAAATTAATGGATTTCGCATTTCCACGAAGTTGGTCGGTCAGAGGTTTCATAAGTAATGGGCATTTCGGTATGAAACGTCTATAGAAACTTACCAGGCCGTTAAACGTGCGTAATTGCTTGACGGTGGTCGGTTCTGGGTAATCCAGAATGGCCGCCACTTTGGTCCTAAGAGGTTGAATGCCTTGAGCGTCGATAGTGTGTCCTAGGAAGTCTAACGAGTCGGTTCCGAATTGGCATTTCTGGACGTTTACAGTTATGCCATGTTTTTGAAGTCGTTCGAAAACAAGATCCAGATGCTTGAGATGTGTTTCTCTGTCCGGACTTGCGATTAGACAGTCGTCAACATACGCGTGTACGAAGTCGAGACCTCGAAAAACGTCGTCTATGAATCTTTGGAATGTTTGAGCAGCATTCCTTAGACCGAAAGGCATTCGCAAAAATTCATAGAGTCCGAAGGGAGTTATGATAGCTGTTTTCGGTATGTCGTCAGTAGCCATAGGGATTTGGTTATACGCTTTAACCAAGTCGATTTTCGAAAAGACAGTTGTACCTTCCAAGGTAGCTGTCAAATCGTGAATGTGAGGCAACGGGTAACGATCGGGAATGGTTTTCGCGTTCAATCGCCGATAGTCACCAGTTGGACGCCAATCGTTGCTGTCCTTTTCAGGGACCATGTGCAACGGAGATGCATATGGGCTACTTGACGGTCGTATGATTCCTAAGTCCATCATGTGATCGAATTCGTTTCTGGCTAACCTTAGCTTTTCAGGAGCTAGTCGTCGTGCTTTAGAGAATACAGGTGGTCCTGTAGTCCTGATGTGGTGTGTAACGTTGCTGGTTACACACGGTAGTTTCGGTTGAGTTTGTTGTATCTCAGGGTACTTATCGAGTAGTGGTTGATAGAGTGGGTCTATCATATGTTTAACTGTGACTGGGGATACTCTACAACCAGTAAAAGAAGTTACGCAAACGGACAAATTAGTGTTTCCGTATACTAGCCTCCGTTTGCGCGTGTCGATGATCAGATTATGGTGTTGTAGAATATCCATACCAATGATTGGCATAGAAACATCTGCAACAACGAAAATCCAGTGGATGGGTTTGCGTAAACCCACGTTAAGGTAAACGTACCTTTTGCCATACGTAGCGATCGGTTTTCCGTTTGCCGCCTGTAAGTTTAGGGTCGATTCGTGTAGTCGGTCGTTAGGATTTGCTGGGAGAACGCTAACTTCTGCGCCAGTGTCGACGAGGTAGCGAACTCTCGTTGTCACATCTGTGACGAATAACAGACGGCTATGTTCGCCGGCTACGGTTGCCGTTAACGCTTGCCGGCTTGGAAGTTTCCCGAATTGCTTTTCGAATCAGTCGGTTTCGTGTTGGGAAAATTGCAGGGTTTTCTGCAATTTCTGGAAAGCTTTCCATACTGGTTATGATACCAGCACCAGTCGGGGTTATCTGTCTCTCGTGGTCTAGAGACAGATCGTTTACGAGAAATGCTTCTACGTGGTGTGCGCGTTCTCTTACGGTCGGTACGAAGACTAAGATAACTCGTGAGTGTGTGACATAAGTCGGTTATATCATTCTGAGTCGTTTGAGGTTTTTCTTTGACTGAAAATACCT